AACAAAGCAAAGCAAGTGATCTAAGCAAGTAACTAAGAGCCCATGGAAAACCATGGATGAAAAGGGTGCTAACACCTTCCCTTTTCATAATCTACCCCCTGAACTCAAGAAAACATCTCAAAGGTCTTTCCTGTGCTTGTTTACCTTTCCTTTTGGATAAAAGAAAAGTCGGTGGCGACTCTTGCTAACCGCGACATTTGCGATAAAACGCAAAATCTCAAGTCAGTTCTCCCACCGTATCACAGTTTCATTCTAAAGTCCTACCCCCAAGAGGATGTCTCTTGAGACATATTTCTTTTTTGGAATTCCACCGACTCTAGGCGAAGTTGTCACATAAACTCATAGGGGTGATGTATCCCCCTAGTTAATGGACGAACCTTCTTTCTAAGGGTTTTTGAAAAAAAATATTTATTTTCTTAAAATTAAAAATCCCATCATCAAATAAAAAATAAATAAATAAAAATAATAAATGAAAGCAAATAAAGAAATAACAACAAATACTGAAAACATTAAAGATACAAACAAAAAAAACCCTAAACCTAAGAGGAAGGCTTCTAAACTCTAAGGTTGACTCCCCAATAGAGTCTCCAACTATTCTAACCGATTTTAAAATGAGAGTCACCATCCTTAATTTTTATCTTTAGGAAGGGAATATAAAAGATAACCCTAATTTGGTAAGAGATTCTAAGTTGTTTGACTTATTTTAGAGGAAGGGGAGGTGTTAGGAACCCCTCATCTACCTTGTTCACAAGAATACTAGGGTTTAGAATTACAGCTTAGGAAATAGGGTTTTATTTTTTATTAGGGGAACTAGCCAAGATTTTAGTCGTATGCCTAGGTATCCTGTTATTTGAAATCAGAGTCCAAATTCGTAGTTCGTAGTTGGTTGATGTTTTTTATGGATTACGAATATATTTTGAATTCTCCTTGAACCAAGCCTAGGTGTCTGAATAGCGGAATTGTTAGACGAAGTTCACAGTCGATTAAAGTATCTTCATAATCCTTTTTGAAAATAGTTTTGAATTAATTAAGTTAGTAAAAAAAAGATTTGGTGTTGGTTAGGTATTTTTTAAATGTATTAATATATAAAATCTTGTTAATGCATGACAAAAAATAATTTTAATGCAATTTTTAAAAGTACTCATGAGTTAGTAAAATAAATATTTTGAATTTTAAAATAATAAAATAATTTCAAAATTTATAAATATATTAAATATAAAATAATAATAATAATATAAATAATAAAATAAAATAAAATAATTTTAATGAAAAAGGCAGGATGTGTATTTTGTTTAGGTTAAGTAAAACAAGGGGAGTGTAAAAGTAGGGCCCTGAATTCAGACATTGAATTCAAGCCCAAATGCAGAGATGGTGTAATTCCCAGCGTAGTAGCAAATTTAGGGGGTTTGTTCAACACGAGTCCAAGTTCAGATATTGAACTGGGCCCAGTAGCAAAGAGGTGTGATTTCTAGCGTGGTAGAAATTGAGGCAACAGGGAGGCGTGATTAGAGATGGGCTAGGCCCACAACAACTTCTTGATCCAACAGAGAAGGTGTGGGATAGGTCATAGAATTATGCTGGACACACGCTTTTGGATCTTTTGATGCTGATCAAAGAGTTATGATGGGAAGCACACAATAAGGTTCATAGAGATGCAAAAACAAAATCAGGGAGCGTTATATAAACAAATTACTGGGTTGAGAGCCCATTTTTCTTTTCTCTTCCTCTCTCTATAATGAATAATAAAACCCTTTGTTATTTCTAGAGAGATAGAGGCTCTACCTTCTCTCGAGAACTCCATCGTGCCGGAAATTACCCAGCCGATGGTCACCATCACTAGTCACCACAAACCACCCTTTCTGCCTAGTTTTTCGATTGACATTCAACCGGAAACTTCAAACATTCATACCCCACCACCGTATCTTCATTTGGGTTATATGAACCCTAAGAACCCTAAGGGTTCATGATGAAACCTAACCAAAAAAACTCAGAACACACAAAAACGATGAACCCTAACCCTGATCTTCAAACAACCCCAAGAATCCTAACCCTATGATCTAAGAACCCTAACACTAGAAACCTAAGTTTTCTGGAACCGCGAAAATCAAACATCAATCATGCATGTGTTAACAATAATTACAACCCTAAACTATGTGTTTTTAGATTACCTCTCCTGCAGTCTAATTGGTCGTATAATTTTCCTTTCTGATTTTCTACTTCTCCTTTTAATCTCCTTCCCTCTCTCTCTCTCTCTCTCTCTCTCTCTCTCTCTCTCTCTCTCTCTCTCTCTCTCTCTCTCTCTCTCTCTCTCTCTCTCTATTTGACAAGTACGATGATGCTAGTGTGAAGGTAACAGTGGCGCAACACATATCTAGGGTTTCGAAAGTTAAAACCCTGATATCAAGAAGATTAATGTGATGCTTCTAATTTCTCTCTTCTTCTTTCGTATATCTTATCCTCCTCCTTCTTTAGAATTTGTTAGGTTTATTTGTAGTTTTAGGTTAGAGATAGATTAGGAAGTTTTGTTTATGATTGTCGTTACAAATTGTAATTGATTTAGGAAATAGGAATATCTAGATTTGTTTAAGGATTCAATTTGTTGTAAATTGATTTAGAAAGGTTTTGTTTGGAATTAGGATTTTGTAATCTGTACTTGGACCTTGTTATTATGTAGATTCGTTTTCAAAAAATAAAAACAAATATTAATTTCTGGATTTGATTTACGGAGATCTCGATTTGTTTTAGTTTTTGATGAGTATGCGTTTTTTCTTGTTGAAACTATATAATGCATGTTTCCTGGGCTTTGGGCTTGTGGAATTTTGATGAAGAACAACAAATAGGGAATTTTGGGTTGAAAACCCCTAGTTTTGGTTTGGTTGACTCTAGTCAACATTTCAAACAATAATAAAATAATTAATATATTTTACTTAATAAATATTAATAGTATTGATAATAATAATAACTTTATGCTTAAATTAATAATTAATAAATACTTAATTATGGAAATTTATAAATAAAAGATTTAAACAAAAAACATTGACTTTAGTCAACAGTTTAGCACGATGGGTTTCAAAAAAGAATATGGGCTAACAATTCAATGGACCAAAAAAAAAAACTGAAGCAATAAGTTCTTAAAGAAACATACACCCCCTCCCTATTCGGATTGACCTTAAGCTTAATGGGCTTCTGATTAGGAGTAAAATCCCTTATACTTAGCAATACACCCCTCTTTCTATTCATTAATTTCTACATGGGCTAAAATATATCAACAAATACACCTCCTTTGTTAATGGTAAGAACCAACTTAATGGGCCATAAGTTTTTGATGGTCCATCCAAAAATAATACACCCCCTTTATAACTTAAAACCCACAATAATTCGACAATAATCTAAACTTTTATAAAAATGACATCATAAATCGGAAATAAATTGTTAGAAATCTATAGGAAAAATTTGAGGTATGACAACTAGCGTCTATTGTGACTCCCTCATCCCGTTAGAGAAGAGCTGCAAAATAATACTAATAATTAAGCAAACAAAATTACCAAAACGTATTCATTTCTAACTAATAAAGAAAAGACACATACCTTGTAGAAGAACATACTCCTCCCAACCAGAATGGAGGAGCTAATGTGTAGTGTTCTCACTTTAAGTACTGGAGAGAAGTCCATGTGAGAATCTACAACATTTGTGGGATTAGAAGCCTCACAGCCTATATTAATAATAACCAAACCCAAATCAGTGAGCAGAACTGAAAACTTCAAATTTATTGAAAAGAAATGTTTAGGTTGCAAGAAAAAGAAAAGTGTGTTTTAGCTTTAGATCATGTTACCACATAAGCAATTAAATCAGCGTACTGGACGATTCACACTTATTGCCCGATGGTGCAATTTCATGGATTATAAATAAAATTATCAAACCGCATAATCAGTGTCATAAAATTCAAGATTATCATAAACATGGTCAACCCAACAAGATGTTTCCTCCATGACTTGAACCATGGTATTTCTTAAAATAAAAACAAAGCATGAAACTGAGAAACTAGGTAAGATGTTTTTTAATTTATCCAAGTACCAGTCGTGGACACTTCAACCATTACGTCCGCCTCTGAATTCTAAGGTTTATGCATCGCAGAATCGTCTACATCAGGCTGGTCTAAAAATAATTCTGCTACAAAAAATAGTAGAAAGCATATGTTAGTACATAAAACATATAACCTGATATGTACATAATGGCACTTTTTAGGAAAATACTTATCCACACAATCATGTTTTTATCATTGATATGGCTCCTATCTTAATAAATGTATAGGATTCACTTCGAACTAGAGAGGCCTAGAGCCCTGTGAAAAAAATCGAGTCAGAAAACAGGAGTAGGTGGAAGACATAAAATAAACCTCATCGCTCGAGTCACGCCACCTCCATTCATCACTCACACCTGAAGGGGGGTGAAACCTCTAAACAAATATTGGAGATCATTAAAAAGAGTCAACTCATAATCAAAAAGAAAATATCTCCTCCACCTGAGACCCCAGATCCAAGTATCTCCCTTCCATTTATCGTCTTCTAACACTAGCCTTTTTGTAGAAGAGGATTTTATTGTAATTTTGCAGGATTAGATGGATGAAGATCAGAGTTATGTTCATTACCTCTTAAGAGGAATTGATCATAAACGAATTAATATTTTTATTCAAACATATATGTTGGTTTAGTTATTCTTCTTTAAAGATCCATTTAAACATAAGTCATTGAAAGTAAATTTACACTATGTTAAATAATCACATTCAAATCTAAATCAAACACACTTAATATGACCAAAATATCTCAACAAAACTAATTTCATTTCAAACTCAACTTCAACAAAAATAAAAACAAATCTTACAAAATTGAATTCATGGACCTGTTTTGCAGGACATTTTCAATAGTTCACTGAAATATATTACAATTATATAACTATGAGGGGTAAATAGAAATAAGAAAAGATGCTACAAAAAATCAGAGCTACCAAACTACATGACGATTGAAATCCAGTTGCTTTCTGATTGTTAGGTCTGCTCTAAGATGGAGAACATCATTAATAAAGAAGAGTTTGTCCTCCGCCATAAATGAAGTCCAAGGTGTTTCAAAAAAGTTCCTGTAACCGCCTGCACTTCCCCCAGTAAATTTAAAGTTTCCTTTATACTTGCTGATGTATTCTAAGGTTGGCCTCGACCGAACAGCAAATTCATAGTCAACGCTGACGTTGGCATATCCTGTCTTCTGCATGCCAATGAATAAGCCGAAGCAATGGTAGAAGCTATGTTGGTCCATATTGCATTGTGCTGATAAGAAAAACCTTTGACCACCTAAATGGAAGGCCTGTGAACAGACGCGGCCAGAGGGGAACAAGTTGGCACACTCCTCCCGTTTTAGGTCTAAGTATACCACACACTGTTGATGTGGATGTTCGAATTCCACAATTTTAATAGGGCGATAAATATATGATCGCTCAATGAAGACGCGACTAGTGGAAGCCGATTCTGTAGCTAGTATCCTTTGTCGGTGTGGTGCTTCAGCCTTGAAATACAAGGCATCAAATATTAGCTTAGAAGTGACTTCATGGTTGAAGTCGTTGCAAGTTTGGACTATCTTCAGCTTGCGGCAGGTCATGAATGGGAAACGGATGAAGCGAATAAGATTGTGTCTGAGGATTTTTCTCCTCTCTTCTAGATTAGGGTACTGGGTTCGAGCCCACACCATCACAAAGTCGTACACTGCATCTTCAGATCCGACTTGCAACTCATCGCTGGATAATAATGCTACAATCCCAGCAAGTGGCAATTCCATCAGCTCCTCTTGATGCCTTGTCAATAATAAAACTTATTAGCGTCAAAAAAATCAACAATGATTTACTAGATGATCATAAATATATCAACCTTGTCCTAAAAAATCATTTGAACATTCTATTCTTTGATAATGCATAAAATACAATGTACTTTTTGTCTTTTTAATGAGCTTTGTTCAGGGCATATGGTAATTTATAAAAAAAAATTCTGCTTAAAAGAAATTTATAACATATATCATATGACTAATTTAAACAAAGAGGAAAAAAAGAAATACCTTGTGATGTCCTTGTAACGAGCAACAAGATACTGTTTTGCTGCTATAACCAATGGCTGAACAGCATTAGTCATTCGCACACACAAAGGAAGCTCTAGGTAGAGCAACACAGACTCCACTGTCATGGGTATGTTCAGCAATACTCGACTGCAGTATTTCAGGCATGACGGCACCTCAAACTTGTCTGCCGCCATGAAGACGTCCAACAATCTAGGTGGTGAGGTCGGATAAAGACAACGGTTGTACATAAATTTCAAAAGCTCCATGAATGGAGCTTCCTCTTTTATATGCAAAATAAATCAGTATTAGTAAGAAAACTATTGGAGAAAACAAATCTCATTAAGCAAATAACCTAAAAATCTTTTTACATATGTTTATACCAGATGCATCAATTCTTAGGGTGACTAGCGTCTGTTGTGACTCCCTCATCCCGTTAGAGAAGAGCTGCAAAATAATTCACATAATTAAGCAAACAAAATTACCAAAACGTATTCAAATCTAACTAATAAAGAAAAGACACATACCTTGTAGAAGAACATACTCTTCCCAGCCAGAATGGAGGAGCTAATATGTAGTGTTCTCACTTTAAGTACTGGAGAGCAGTCCATGTGAGAATCTACAACATTTGTAGGATTGGAAGCCTCATAAGCTATATTAATAATAACCTAACCCAAATCAGTGAGCAGAACTGAAAACTTCAAATTTATTGAAAAGAAATGTTTAGGTTTCAAGCAAAAGAAAAGTGTGTTTCAACTTAAGATCATGTTGTCACATAAGCAATTAAATCAGCGTACTTGGCACGATTCACAATTATTGCTCATGGTGCAATTTCATGGATTATAAATAAAATTATCAAACCTCACAATCAATGTCAAAAAATTCAAGATTCTGAAAAACATGGTCAGCCCAACAAGATGTTTCCTCTATGACTTGAACCATGGTATTTCTTTAAATAAAAACAAATCATGAAACTTAGAAATTAGGTAAGAGATTTTTTAATTTATCCAAGTACCAGCCGTGGACACTTCAACCATTGCATCCGCCTCTGAATTCTGAGACTTATGCGCCGCAGAATCGTCTACATCAGGCTGGCCTGACAATAATTTTGCTACAAAAAAAAAACAGGAGAAAACATACGTTAGTACATAAAACATATAACCTGATAGGTACACGGTGGCACTTTTTAGGAAAACATCTATCCACACAATCATGTTTTATCATTGATTTGGCTCCTATCATAGTAAATGTACAGGATTCACTTCTAACAACCAATGCATGTTTGGCAAGTAATCAATCTACCTAAGGATTTGGTTCCATAATGTGTTACAAACTAAAACACAACAAAGTTAAGAATTTTGGAGAAAAATATTAGTGTATACCATTGTCTTTCTGAATGTCCTCCCTTCTCCTTTTGCCGAGGCTAGTTCGATCGGCGCTTATGGATGAACTCTTGAAACTAGGGAAAATTTCAATAAGATCCCTCATGATTTCGAGTTGAAGGATTCTATCTGAGAAACTAGAATCGTTGAAGGCAAAACCAAGATCTGTGTCCTCGGAATCTTCGTTTCTCGAGACATCCAAGTCCATCACGATTAAAGAGTCACTAAAATTTCTTGCAATAAAGAACCAGGAAAATGAGTTGTGAAAGTTATAACTCCAACTATAACAAGACAATGGTCATGAAAGTAACTCAAATGCTCCTCTATTTATTTATACTAAATAATATTGTTGAAAAAGAAACTGTAAAATATAATAAACTAATAAAAATATGACTTTTTTTCTTTTGTTTTATGACTTAATTCATAGAATTTACTTTGTATGTATTCAAAATATTAAACTTGTTTATAATCAAACCATTTGTTATAAATTATTTCTAGATATTTGTTATTTTTCCCTTTTTTTTTTTTGCTACTTACAATATTTTTAAACTATTTTTCATAATACAGATAAGTATATTTGTTATTTTTTTCCATTTTTATTTGTGAGAATTCTTTGAATGGGTACACTATACACAAATTTACATATTTAGTCCTATGTATTAGAATATTTTAAAACTATTTTTTATAATAGAAATAAAGATATTTATTATTTTTTTCATTTTTATTTGTTAGAACTCTTTAAATATGTACATTATACACAAATTTATATATTTGTTCGTCTATATGTGCGCTGTATTAGAATATTTTAAAATTATTTTTATAATACAAATAAGGTTATTTGTTATTTTTTCTAATTTTATTTGTTAGAATTTTATGAATGTGTACTATATTCGCAAATTTAAATATTTAGTCATTTATCTGTCTATTATATTAGAATATTTTAAAACTATTTTATAATATAAATAAGGATATTTGTTATTTTTTTCCATTTTTATTTGTTAGAATTCTTTGAATGCGTACACTATACACAAAGTTACATAGTTAGTTGTCGCGATGCATGAGAATGTTTAATAACATTGTTAAATTAAAAAAACAAATACAACTAAATTGAGTCAAATGAGCAATATATATTTTTAAAATAATTTTTAATTAAACATGAAATTAAAATTAGCATAATATAGTATTTGTATGTATATCACATAATTTATCACTATTTATGACGGCAAGAATATATGAAAAAACAACAAAATCAAAATGGAATTTTATTACTTACTATTCTTTTGCACTTTGTCGCTCTAATGAAGTTCAATTTAACTTTGTCTGTTATTTGTATGAATTTGATTTAATTTCTCACAAGTAATGCGTTTTCAATAAAATAAGTAAAACTTTCATTTAAGAATTTTTAAAACTGGGCAATAAATTCTTTTTCACGTTGGTCTGAATCTTTTCACTCTACAATACTAAAGATGAAAATACAAACAAATAAATTGTAAATATTATTATGAAATCAACAAAAAAAGGTAAAGCATTTAAATATTTTCTTCAAGTAAAATTGTCTCTAAATTATTTGTGTTAGATGATTATTTGAATTCAGACTGAGTCGCATGATGTAGGAGGATTGTCTGCGCGTACCGAAGGAAAAACGCGCACCAGAACGATTTAGTAGGATTTGCGTAAATTTGACGTCTGATGTCAGAATTACTCGAAAATAGCATTTTATTATTTTCTACAATTTTAGCAATTTATATTTTATTTGTTATATTTATTTAATTTTGTTTTAGATTAAAGGCCCATAAGACCTATTAAGGTTTCTATGTTTTATGCATTTAAAGACCTTTGGCATAGTCATAAGGATTAACTTTTATTATAATAGAATCCAAAGTTTTCTCTGTACTGGTAGACTCCAACCTATTTGACACGTTTTGCACTTGCAACCTTGTGTTTTATTATAGGTTTAGCGCTTGCAAATTTATTCCTTTATTCTAGGTATAGCGCTTGCTAATCCCTAGGGCTTCTGATTGCGTCAGTTGATATCAAAGCATATTTTCTCATGTTATTTTCGTAACTTGACAACCATGGCTGATCAACCGACAACCAAACCTGATTTTGAGGAAATTACCGTAACTTTTACTACAATTATAATTGCTTTGACTGAACATATGGCGAATTTAGAAAATAAGGTGAAGAACGCAAACAACAATGAGAATCAACGAAGAGACATGAGAGAAGGACATGTTAAGGGTAGAAAACTTTTGGATAATTCAATTTTCGTTCTACATCCACCATCCAAAATGAATCAAACAATGTATCAAGCAAAAACAATAAAATCATCAGGCCTATATAAGTCATCTCCTTTCATTGATTTCTTTTCTCTGAAATTGAAGACAATTCATGTTGAAGAGGCGAGGTCCAAATTTGTCAAAGGAGCCACAAGAACACTGAAGTAAACTATGGTGATGATGAATTTGATAAATATGCAGAAGAAACACAAGGGTATTTATGGAATGAGAGTCTCACAATTAATTGCAAAAATCGACTTGGTGATAATGGTATTTTTTTCTAAATTTCATTATTATACTGAAGTAAGTGAAAATTCTTTTACAATTGCAGTTGCTTTGAAAACTGAAGAGCAATGTGTTTTAAGTGAAAATTCAAAGCTACTAACTTTTGATATGTCTGTGAGCAAAGGTGAAAATCATGACATGGATGAAAAGGTGGAACATTTTCAAATCAATGGGGGTAAAAGATGAAAATCTTGATATAGATATTTGTCATGTTTTACTTGGCAAATTTTGGCAATTTGATAATGATATCACTTATCGAGAAAGTGATAACATGATGATGTTTACATGGGGCACACATAAAATTTCTACGAATCTTGTTTTGCACTTTGATAAGAATCTAGGAGGAATTAAATCTAGTTTTTTGTTGATTACATAGAGTGAAAAGGAGCTTGATAAGGCTATTAAAGAAACTAAATTTTTTGTCTAGTATTGACTAAAGAGGTGATGAGTATTGTAAAGAAGAAGAAAATTCCAGAAGAAATGCTAGGGGTCCTAAAGGATTTCAAGGATTTGACCGCATATGAGATACCAAACAATTTCCTTCGTATAGATAAACACATGGAAGATAAAGCTTCAATGTGGGAATAGATATGATGGTGTTTCTTTGTAAGGAGAAGTTACTAGTTGGTATTTATAACAAGTGGCAACCATATTAAGCTCTTTATCAAGAAGAGAACTCGGGGTCGAGTTCATTTTAAGTGAAGGAGACTGATGTAGGAGGGTTGTGTACACGTATCAAAGGGAAAGCGCGCGTCAGAATAATTCGGCAGGATTTACGCAAGTTTGATGTCTGATGTTAGAATTGCTCGTATTATACCTTTTTAGAAAGGGAATCATCCCAAAAGTACAATTGTTTTCTATGCAATAATATATGGATTTTTAAGTCATTTTAGTTCGTTTCAGGATCGGAAATAGCATTTTAATATTTTCTACAATTTTAACAATTCTTTATTTGCTTTATTTATTTAACTTTGTTTTGCATTAAAGGCCCACAAGGCCTTAGGGTTTCTATGTTTTATGTATTTAAAGACATTTTCCATAGCCATAAAAATTATCTTTCATTATAATATAATCCAAAGTTTTCTTTGTGTTGGTGAACTCGAACCTATCTGACAGGTTTTGCGCTTGTAGCCTGTAGCGGCAGAAATATGGAGACTAAGCCATTAGATTGACATATCTCGTAAAAACCAATGAAGTCGCCACCATACTTTATTTTATACAAAGGAAATGGGAAAAGAGCGAATAAACCCAAAGTAAAATAGAGAGTCTAGGTAAGGGGGTTGGCTATGCAAAGGGAAGGTATAAGCATCCTAAAAATCTATGGTACTCCGTAGGAACCTCTTTGAAAATTTGTGTATTTTGGTATAAATAAATATTTACAAAAATAGATGGTGGAGATGAGAAAAGAAGTATCTTTTATAATTTTTGTACCTGACGCAGTTACGAACCTTTAGTGCCTATGTACCCCCTTCGTGCAATAGAGGATTAGAGTACCCGTAGTTCACCTTAAAAATTTTGAAATGTTTTGTGTGTTGCTTAATTTTAAGAAAAGGTTTTAAAGAGAAAAAGGCAAGGTGAAAAAATGGTTTGAATGAGGTTAATAACTTTTAGTCTTGAAAAAGATGTCAAAGTATGATTAAATTGATTAAGGATTAAATTAAAAAAAGAGTTTTGAAGATGCATGGACCTAAGTCCAAGTTTTTTATGAAAGTGGTCAAGTTAAAAAAAAAAGGTTTTGAAAAGGAGGGAGAAGATTTGAAAATTAATGAAGATGAGAGGAGATGAAGGAACTATCATATGTATACAAAGTAAAAGTTAAGGTAAGAACGGTCTAACAAACAAGAAGCCAACACTTGACATAAAGAAGTCAATGTATAATTTCTATCCTTTAGATTAAAAACCAAGCAAGCATAATACCAAGATAAAACAGAGCCTCAGATGAAAATAAACCTCAGATGAACTTGAGCCTCAGATGAATTAAGCCTTCACAAAAATTGGGAAGAGTAACGACTGTATACAGAGGAATTCCCAATCACAGATAAAGCATAAAATCAAAATAACCTGTACACAAAGAAAATTAATCAAATTCCTTGGAGTAAACCCCAAGGACTTCAGACAGAATAACAATAGTGTACTAAGGTCTCCAAGTGTCAAGGCTTCTACTCGGAAGTCCAAGATATCCACAACTCCAATATACCAAGGATAGTAACCGATAGTCCGAGTGGAGCTTAAGACTTTTATGATTCAAGTTTATTATTAAGTGTCTTTAAAAAGAAAAAGAAATCTTAAGTCAACAAAGAAGAAATAACATAAAATAAATGCTCAAGTGAGCAAAAGGAAAATACCATGAAATGTAAATGTTTAAAGATAAATGACATAAAGTAAAGACATAAAATAAATGCGTAAAGTAAAGGCATAAAGTAAAGTTAATTGTTAACGACTAGTAAGTTATGAGTTAATGTCACAAAGTAAGATCAATAATGATTGAATAATGAACATTGGACAAAGTTAATGAAAACTCATTAGAGGAATGATAAAATCAAAGCCTCTTAACAATGAGTTTCATAGGTGTTGAACCAAAGTCAAATAATCAACCATACTTGGCAACCCCTTAAGGTAACCCCTCTTTTAATTATCCCCAACA